TTTTCGGGGGAAAATGATGCCTGTTCGCTCAAACCGTAGCAAAGTGGTAGACTTGTACGTTGCAGCGCCACGCATTAGCATGCAAGAATCGATCGAGGACTCCGGAAGGGAATAGGATGAACTGACATTTCTCCGCTTGTTGTTGAAAATGGACTTGTCCGACTGGGATTGGAGCGAGCGCCCTGCGATTGTGTGTGACTTGAAACTAGCATACAAGGGACTAATGAAGATGAGAGGGGGCCAAGAATTAGGGGATTGAAAACAAGGGAGATGAACCGTAAAGTTGATGCGGAAACGGTGGGGTTTGAAAAGCGTAAGAGAAAAAAGAAGACGGGAAGACCTGTGCAGTAGCATCCAAAACCCCTATCCTACTGGCTCGATACAGCAGATAAGACAATAGATTATCATCTAGCGACCGCCAGAGCATCAAGAAATTGCGTGGAGTAGTTGGGTAGAGATTTACTGCGGGGTCAGGAAACTGTCAGGTTGCCCAGGCCTTAGACAGGAGAACGATTAGGGTTACTCAATAAAAAACCTTTGTTCAAAACACATTAGCGCAAGGCTGCGGGGTTTTGGTACTGGGTCAGGGAGTCCGTTTTATGGAGTAAGGAAGGCTCCCCTTCACTTCAACCCCATATCTGGAGGGCCAGGGTGACTGTGTTTGGCCTTGCCTCCATTCATTGACCCAATCTGGTCATGATGTGGCTCGGGAGTGGTGCAAATAAGCACCTCCCAGAATTGCTCATTATGGATTCTCTGTGGCGCACGCTAAATCATCTCTCATATGGCTAAGGTTCCAGTCTGCGTCGCGTTGTGTAAAAAAATGACCCATGGATCCATACCGTTAGAACCACCCCTTATGTTGTCGCATACATCTAAGTCATAGGTCCGATTGTTACGCTCTAGTGTGGTTCATTGTGTATATCGGTCTATATCATTGGTCGTCTTTAGCTTTTATAATCCATGTTCTAAGCCTCGGCTATGGAAAGAAGTTCATCACTTGGTCACGAGCTTTATAGTCTCAGTGTCTCTTGGCAGGGGGACTACAACATCCTAAGCCGTTTACCGGTAAGAAAATACCTCCAGACCACTTTTAGTGCGCACTTCAAGGCGGAAATACCAAGGGCTTTCGCTGGTTTCACCGTCTCATAACGATTCTTGGTTTATTTGCGGCTCATTTCAGGACAGGTAAATTCATAACCGGACCTACCATTGTTCGTCGTTGGTTTCCTAAACCAGGAACTCGATGATCGACGTATTATTAACAAATGTGCACTTCATTGGGTCGGCCAGCGAAGCAACGCTACACTAGCGTTCCCGCCTACAGTCGTGCTATCGCCGGGGTTTCTTAAAGAAGAAGTACCTAGGTATATCTCACGTCGTTCAGTAACCAAGTATGATGATCCGGGTCCGTCCTCACACTGGCTTGCAACATAGATCACTTTTTTCGTAAGCCGAAATTGATTGTGGTCTCCTGATCGTGCATCTGCAGGTAATTTGAGCAAACACAGAATTCGACAGACATAGTGTTTATCTCATAATAAGAAACAGAATTCCATTATCCGAAAATGATTGTCGTGCTTTAAGGAAGCAGGGTCAGAAATTGCATGGGCGTTGTGCAACACACTGCGTGGGTTTCGCTTACATTAAGCTGTCCGAAGCGAGGAACACACTGGGTTATTTATCCAACACAAAATGGAAATCCATGGCCGTTAAATACTCGTTCTCCGGAGGATATAAAGGAAAAAACACTATTCAAGACCCGCCTGATAATTTATTGCTCTTTCGCCTAAGCTTCTATGCTGACCTCGTAAGCAAAAGCACTGCCGCCGCGTCAGTTAAGTGTGCGGTTTTCCTGTTTTGCACTACAGCACGACGGGTGCTGTTGGCACATAATCGACACAAGAGGACGGACCTATACGTTCTTGGGTCCACTATTTGGCCGTACCACTTCCTAGTGTGCAAATATTCGTTACATCCTTACCTATGCAGGATCCTTGCCCAGCCATCATGGTCGTCAATGCACCATTATCGTCTGCCAGTCCAGTTTGTACTGAATGCGGCTCCGTTGGGTTGACTAACTTTTCTTCCGACGTAACAGTAAGTTTGAGGTTAGGAGTCCGATACATCTCTGCTCGTCCCGGTGTTAACTCGAGTGGGAAGAGGCGACGATCTTGCGACAGCCATCATCTCATTAAACTTTTACCTTTTCGCGGATGCGTGACGTTAATTGTTGGCCGAGCGCGATCATGGGATTGAAACGACCACAAGAGACTCTCCACGTGTGAACCTTGATGGGAACTGGCATTGTCTGGTGAGGATATCCTCTGTCCTTTGCAATGGAGTCTATTGTTATCACTTTGGTCCGCACATCCGCCATAGACACGCCTTATTTCCACAAATTTGGGGCATTACGGACCTGGCAGGACAATGCACCTTCAGGAACTTGACACTTCGGTCATCCGGGTGTTGCTGGCGCAGGACAGACTGTCGGTTAACTCCTGGACAGTCGGATTCCGCTTCAGATGTGGTAAACCGGCACGTTGTTAGCGTGCGGATGGCATTCGAGAAAGTTTGGAGATCATTCTTCTTTTCTATATGGCTCAATGCCCTACGTGCGTTTCCTAACATCAAATCCGAGAATTACGCCATACGGCTTGGCACGCCCGGCTAAAGCCGTGACCTGGGACAGCGCTACGTAAACTCCCCTTAGGTCGAGGCAACTAAATATGTGTCCATGTGATTGTGTGCTAACCTTTGCGTACCGAGCTAGGCGACCTTCCCTATAAACACTCGGAGTAGGAGGAAGCAGTGTTTGTGGGCGCTACAGGTGGGTACGTGGAAAT